TTAAAAGCAATCACTCCAATATAACAAGTATCTCTTTGTATAAATTTAGAAGTATGAAAAAGCAAGAACCTGAAATCTACAGAGGAAAGGAAAAAATTCAAGCTGTTCTTGAAGCACTTCTACGTTGTCTAGAGGATTTTCACCAAGTTCATCTGAAAGTTCACTCTGAAAAAAATCGATGATAAGAAGTTAAAATGTAGAATAAATATTTCTCTTTAGAACTAAAGAGTTTCTCTTTTGTTATGAATTGGTGTTTAATCACATGTAAATCTAGTATTATTAGGTTTTGAGAAAAGCAAGGAAAGAAAAGACAATGTAACAGGATAATTCTAATGTATTATTAGAAGTTGTCATCCTTTACAAAAAGGTCTTAGTCCTTTAAATAGACTCTGAAAAGAGAAAACCGCAGTTAATGAGAGTCATCAATGCAATGGAACTGCCATAACTTGCAAAAAATAGTATCCACCGAAAAAAAGAAAAGAAACTATATGACAACAGTACAGTACAGAACTTATAGTGATACAAGCCTAATATAAATCTAATAGAAGTCTAATATCCCCCTTCAAACTCAAGGTGAGGGATTAGCAGAATCCAGAACATGGAGTTTGCAGTGCAGAAGTTCAAAGTGAGTTGGAGAAAGGGACATCGTAAGAGCATCAGTCCACTGATCAACACTGGGAATGAGATAAACTGCAAGTTGCATAGACAAAACTTGGTCCTTAACAAAGAACACATATATTTCCATGTGTTTAGTGTGGGAATGAAAAATTGCATTATGAGCAATGGCAATTGCACTCTAACTGTCACACATCATAACAAGAGTGGATGAAAGAAGAGATAGTTCTTTTAAAAGGGCCTGAATCAACAAAACTTCAGCAGAAGTGCGGGTTAAGGTACGATATTCAGCCTCAGTGCCGGAGCAGGCTATAAAATTCTGCTTGCAAGACCACCAGGAAATGAGATTGGGACCGAGGAAGATAGCTGAGGCTAGAAGGCCTCAACCTCTACCTCCAATGTTGTCTGAAGAACTGGGTGAGAACCTTTTATGAGTCAGCACTATAAGAGGAGAAACCAGAAATAAATATTTTGTTGGGTCTATATTAAATAGGATAGTTATTGTAATAGTTGTTGACAATTTCTTAATCAGTTAGGTAGTTTTCAATGTTTTTATTAGGGGCAAGCATAACTGCCTGTAGGCAGTTATCAGGACAGAAGAAAAATAAAGAAAGGGAGGGAAAAAAGGAGGGGACTGGAGAGGAAAATCAGGAAAGGGAGAGACCAAGCTCTCAATAACTTGGAAGGTGTGTTCTGTCCTAATTGTTGTTCAATTTCATTTTATGTGTTCTGAGTAAACTGGTAATTATTTCACAAGTTCTTGTGACTATAATACAGCAATAATATCTATACCAGTTGGTTTCTATCAAAACAGTGCCTTTAAGATACTATAGAATCCGCTTAACAGCAGTCCAGTGAGAGTCCAGGGGTTGAGCCATGAATTGAGAAACTTGACAGCATAGCTAACATCGGGTGAGTGAGAGTGGCATACTGCAAGGCCCCTACCACAGAGCGATAAAGAGAGAGGTCCCAAATTTGGATAATTTGCATGAAGAAACCATAGGAGAAGGGAAAGGATGAGCCTCGGTCATTTGGTTTTAAGCAAAAGATCTGAGATACTTGCGTTGAGCCAGTATCAAAGACTGGTCTGAAAGATAATTAATTCAATGCCCAGCTGATTCAAAGAGAGGTTGGAATGCAAGCTGATTAATGGAGTGAATAAGAGGAATAGAGTAGCCTTTAATGAAGATGTCATCAACATAAACCAATATGCAAACAGTATGAGAGGCATGATGATTGTTGAAATGTCACGGAAGGCAGTGAAGAGCTGGAGTTGATCGGTTGAAGAAGTTACTATCCAAACTATTTAGTATATTTAGAGCGATATTCAAGGAAATATATTCTAGGGAAAGATTTTATTATAGGGAAAGATTTTATTCTAGGGAAATATTTTATTTAGAACAATATTCATATTTTATTCTAGCGAAAGATTTAGCACAAGATGGGCAGGAAATAATTAGTATAACTAAAGCTAGAGGCTATTGTTAGGATCATGCTTTTGATTATTGAGTTTGTTGACAGGCGGCTATGCTCCTGTGAGGGAGGTTATGCTCCCAAAGTAATTGACGAAGGTTATGCTCCCAATTACCCTTGTTTACTTTTGTTTATTCAGATATCACCATCAATAAAAGAGATTCATTCGCCCATTATCATTCATTCATTGTTATGTGCTTGTTGTTTGAGTGTGTGAGGGGTTATCTAATTAGGTTTCGTACTCAGGTACGTAACACATTAACTACCGAAAAACAGAAAAGAAGTTGTATGACATTATAGTACAGAAAAGCGTAATACAAATCTAATACAAGCCTAATAAGTATTTATAAGCACTCATAGTATAATAAAGGGAACCTAAGAATATCCCTAACTATCGGCTTCACATCTTTCCCATGTTGAAAGATTAAATCATAACTTTTACACTCCCCTGAAGGATATCATCATATCAGTCAAGCTTGTTACGATTGTTGTCAATACAAAAACTCTTCAGGGATCCAGTGAGACAAACGAGGCAGAAAAAGGTAGTGCATGCATCGATCTTAGGCAGTCAGGAGATGGAGACTCTGTTGAGTTTTGCTCGGCAGTGGTGAATGGTGGATTGCAGTAGTTTGCATGAACAACGCACACGTATAGTGCCATGTGAACAATGCTGCAAGAACAGTGTACAGCGGAAAAAAAATAGGGAAAAGAGGGAAAAGGAAAACCTAGTTCTCTGATACAATAAAGTTTTCTTGTCCTCATGAATTCTGTTTAATCTACATGCAAACCCTTTATAACATTCAAAGTACAATATAAGGAAACTTAATAAGGGCAAATAATGGAGAATATCCCTAAGTACCAGCTGTACATATTTCCCTAATTACAAAGATCAAGTCAGATTTCTTACAACAACGTATTATGCATGTCGATATGGAATTTAAAGGAACTGACCTGCAATGAATCAAACCTTGATGATACAAACCCTTCTATAACTTTAGGCACATATTCATCTAACAGATTAGGTTTGTCACCCTTGAGATACCGCACAGATGCCACAGATCTAGACCATAAATTTAGAAGATAGTAAACACTGCTTCCAGCCCACTGAAAGGAAACATATATGTATCAATAGAAGTTTCTTTCCATATTTAATAATATCCAATCATTTATAGTGAATTTTATGCAGATTAAAATAACTTAACAAAAGAAGAAAGAATTGGCAAAAAAAGTAGGGCTAGCTATAGTAAGATATGATGGGGAATGATTCCTATCATTGCACATAACAGTAACAATTAGTATATAAATTATTCTTCTTTCAACTCATAGCAAAGCAAATAGAGCAGAAAATCAAACTCTTTCCCCGTTCACAGTCCTCATATCCCAAATCTCGAAACCAAACTATGATACAACAAAATTGATAGTGACCGGAGCAGAACACATGACACTCATGTGGCCTCCAAAATTTAAAGGATTTGCCTCACAACAAGGCAATTTAGATTGAAGTCTGAACAGCAACAACAGAAGGTGCCAAAGGCTTAACTGCAAGTGAGAAAGAATAGGGCAATTTCTTGAGTATGACCGCATCCTTTTACAATATTGGCATTGAGTACGTCCCGCGGACCTCCTCGTCCTCCTCCTCTAGTGCCACGTCCTCCTCTTCCTCGTGTGGCAACCATGACGATTGTTTCCACTAGTTCATTTGCGCTTCTTGAGTTTGAGATACCGGACACCAGAGGCGAGTGGTCAATGTTTCGCATAGAGGGAACCTCATGACTAGTTAGAAGTTGATCTCTGAGATGATCAAATGAAAAATCTGGAATGTAGGTGCAGGCGAATGATCAACACCATGTAAAATTTGTCTAGTTTCTTTTTGATTCCTCTAATGGATCTACTTTTCCAAAAACATCCTAAGTTTCTTGCGATAGGTTCAGATGGGCTTCAGCCATGAAGAGCTACCATATCATGGGCCTGTGCGCATTTTAAAAGAGATGGCAAGCTTGTTCGTCAGTGTCATGAGATTTAATATCGTTGGCTAATGCTTTGGGCTTTCTTCCAAAGGAGTGACAAGTTTTGACATCCCCTCAAAGATACAAGAAGTTGGGTTCCACTGTTGGCTCATAACATGGTACATCAACTGGAAATTTCTGCTTGTTTCCCACTTATCAGCTTTTTCAGAGGCACATTTGCTTCCATCTCGCTCAAGGTGGTCCATATGCCCTTGTCCCAAGGAACCACATTTCAACAGCAGCAGACCATGATAGATAATTTTTTCCATTTAGCTTCTCGGAGGTAATTGATGGACTTCAAGAGAAGGAAAGAGTACTGCCAGACGCCATCTCTGAAGAAGACAAATAGTACTAGCGAGGAACAAGAAAACCCTAAGGGTTTAGACGAAGAAACTGTTGACAGTGATTACAAAGGTGGCCGGCAACGCGGGCGGTGAACGGCGGCCGGCGACGGACGACGGTGGCTCGGGCGGTTGACGTGCCGTCGGTGGTCCACGGCGGCGGCGACGGTGGCCGCGGTTGCGGTGGCCGTCGGCGGGCAGAGCGGGGCATCGGTTCGGGCATGAGCGGCGGGCCGACTAAGAACTAATGGCGCGGAACAGATATATATTACGAGACAAGAAACCAGAGCGGTATCGACCCCTCGATACCNAGCGGGATCGACCCGCTCTGATACCAACTTAAGATTGAAAAGAAATAATTCTTGAGGGCTTAATTGATCCCTCTCACAATCTTCTATTTATAAGAATAAATTGATACACAAATACATGATAAATAGGGTACCCCTAGACACAATATAATCATGATAAATAGGGTAATCCTAAACACAATATAACCATGATAAATAGGGTAACCCTTGACACACTATAATGATGATAAAATAGGATAAATATCCTAACAAATATAAATAACCATGACGTACTAAGGAGATCTCCTATACAGTTTCTTTAGGAAGTACTAGAGTCCACCAAGGAGCTACAGAGAGGAGCACTGAGTTAGGCAAACATTGTCGGTGAGGTTATTTCCTCTGTTTTTAGTTTGTACAGTTGCTTGCTACAACTGGTTTTCCTTTGATGTGCTCCTCTTACCAATACATATATGAGCTTCGTAAAGAGATTCACTCTCTTTCTGTAATTTTTCTTTAGTAATTAAATACATTTTTTTTTGTTTTAATAAACATTGCCTTAATGACAAAATCATCCACTTAAAAAATGACCTAGATTCATCTTTGAGGTGAGTCTCCGTTGTCGTCTAAATGCATATTTCACAAAGTAGAAGGAGGAGTTGAATCAAATGTTTCAATACAACAAAGGGGGGTGTTTTTGTCTCTATAAGTTTATTAAGATTTGACCATCATGGCCAAAAGTACGATAATAGCATCTAAATGAATGGTAAACATAGTGAAAAAGAATCAAATTGTCATTTGTGGTTTGATGTGAGAAATGATTAGTGTAAAGAGAAAATAATTTTATATTGAATAATCCCACCAAATTATCCTTGAAATATCATATAGCAAGCAGAACAGGCAAAATCTTAAATGACAAACCAGAACCAGCCAAATATATGCAAAGATGATGTCAAAGTTCATAAATAATCAAAAACACTGGACCAAAAAAAAAACTTATCAATAGCAGACCATGCACACATTTTAGAATAAGATATAACAATGTTACCCTCATATTGATACAAAAGGACATACCTTGCTGTGAAACCCACTATCAGAAATATTAATCAACTGCAGAACACAAGCCGAAATCTCCGCATCAAGTATCTCATGTGATTCTTCACTGCTGTATAGAAATAAAAGACAACTTAAAAGTTTACTGTGCAGAAGCTTTTATTTTCCTTCACTGGTTAAAGCAATTACCTAGAACCAGAAATCTGCTTTGTTCTGAGAATTGCAGCAACTATGTGTGTGAACCATGCAAGTTTGGATTCGGTTACAGACAATTCAAAACTATCAACTTGGCTTTGGAGATTTACTTCCTTCTACACAAAATGTATAAAACCAAATAAAAATATATTAAAGTAAACAAAGTTAAATCCCTTGATGAAGAACCACTAAAAGTACCATATAGCTTTTCATGATAGGCTCCACTATCTTCATCAGATAAGAACTGCAACTTTCATACTGAAATTCAATGAATCAATACAGATGCTAAAAGTGTAGATAATTAATAACAATTAAAAGCAATCACTCCAATATAACAAGTATCTCTTTGTATAAATTTAGAAGTATGAAAAAGCAAGAACCTGAAATCTACAGAGGAAAGGAAAAAATTCAAGCTGTTCTTGAAGCACTTCTACGTTGTCTAGAGGATTTTCACCAAGTTCATCTGAAAGTTCACTCTGAAAAAAATCGATGATAAGAAGTTAAAATGTAGAATAAATATTTCTCTTTAGAACTAAAGAGTTTCTCTTTTGTTATGAATTGGTGTTTAATCACATGTAAATCTAGTATTATTAGGTTTTGAGAAAAGCAAGGAAAGAAAAGACAATGTAACAGGATAATTCTAATGTATTATTAGAAGTTGTCATCCTTTACAAAAAGGTCTTAGTCCTTTAAATAGACTCTGAAAAGAGAAAACCGCAGTTAATGAGAGTCATCAATGCAAAGGAACTGCCATAACTTGCAAAAAATAGTATCCACCGAAAAAAAGAAAAGAAACTATATGACAACAGTACAGTACAGAACTTATAGTGATACAAGCCTAATATAAATCTAATAGAAGTCTAATATCCCCCTTCAAACTCAAGGTGAGGGATTAGCAGAATCCAGAACATGGAGTTTGCAGTGCAGAAGTTCAAAGTGAGTTGGAGAAAGGGACATCGTAAGAGCATCAGTCCACTGATCAACACTGGGAATGAGATAAACTGCAAGTTGCATAGACAAAACTTGGTCCTTAACAAAGAACACATATATTTCCATGTGTTTAGTGTGGGAATGAAAAATTGCATTATGAGCAATGGCAATTGCACTCTAACTGTCACACATCATAACAAGAGTGGATGAAAGAAGAGATAGTTCTTTTAAAAGGGCCTGAATCAACAAAACTTCAGCAGAAGTGCGGGTTAAGGTACGATATTCAGCCTCAGTGCCGGAGCAGGCTATAAAATTCTGCTTGCAAGACCACCAGGAAATGAGATTGGGACCGAGGAAGATAGCTGAGGCTAGAAGGCCTCAACCTCTACCTCCAATGTTGTCTGAAGAACTGGGTGAGAACCTTTTATGAGTCAGCACTATAAGAGGAGAAACCAGAAATAAATATTTTGTTGGGTCTATATTAAATAGGATAGTTATTGTAATAGTTGTTGACAATTTCTTAATCAGTTAGGTAGTTTTCAATGTTTTTATTAGGGGCAAGCATAACTGCCTGTAGGCAGTTATCAGGACAGAAGAAAAATAAAGAAAGGGAGGGAAAAAAGGAGGGGACTGGAGAGGAAAATCAGGAAAGGGAGAGACCAAGCTCTCAATAACTTGGAAGGTATGTTCTGTCCTAATTGTTGTTCAATTTCATTTTATGTGTTCTGAGTAAACTGGTAATTATTTCACAAGTTCTTGTGACTATAATACAGCAATAATATCTATACCAGTTGGTTTCTATCAAAACAGTGCCTTTAAGATACTATAGAATCCGCTTAACAGAAGTCCAGTGAGAGTCCAGGGGTTGAGCCATGAATTGAGAAACTTGACAGCATAGCTAACATCGGGTGAGTGAGAGTGGCATACTGCAAGGCCCCTACCACAGAGCGATAAAGAGAGAGGTCCCAAATTTGGATAATTTGCATGAAGAAACCATAGGAGAAGGGAAAGGATGAGCCTCGGTCATTTGGTTTTAAGCAAAAGATCTGAGATACTTGCGTTGAGCCAGTATCAAAGACTGGTCTGAAAGATAATTAATTCAATGCCCAGCTGATTCAAAGAGAGGTTGGAATGCAAGCTGATTAATGGAGTGAATAAGAGGAATAGAGTAGCCTTTAATGAAGATGTCATCAACATAAACCAATATGCAAACAGTATGAGAGGCATGATGATTGTTGAAATGTCACGGAAGGCAGTGAAGAGCTGGAGTTGATCGGTTGAAGAAGTTACTATCCAAACTATTTAGTATATTTAGAGAGATATTCAAGGAAATATATTCTAGGGAAAGATTTTATTATAGGGAAAGATTTTATTCTAGGGAAATATTTTATTTAGAACAATATTCATATTTTATTCTAGCGAAAGATTTAGCACAAGATGGGCAGGAAATAATTAGTATAACTAAAGCTAGAGGCTATTGTTAGGATCATGCTTTTGATTATTGAGTTTGTTGACAGGCGGCTATGCTCCTGTGAGGGAGGTTATGCTCCCAAAGTAATTGACGAAGGTTATGCTCCCAATTACCCTTGTTTACTTTTGTTTATTCAGATATCACCATCAATAAAAGAGATTCATTCGCCCATTATCATTCATTCATTGTTATGTGCTTGTTGTTTGAGTGTGTGAGGGGTTATCTAATTAGGTTTCGTACTCAGGTACGTAACACATTAACTACCGAAAAACAGAAAAGAAGTTGTATGACATTATAGTACAGAAAAGCGTAATACAAATCTAATACAAGACTAATAAGTATTTATAAGCACTCATAGTATAATAAAGGGAACCTAAGAATATCCCTAACTATCGGCTTCACATCTTTCCCATGTTGAAAGATTAAATCATAACTTTTACACTCCCCTAAAGGATATCATCATATCAGTCAAGCTTGTTACGATTGTTGTCAATACAAAAACTCTTCAGGGATCAAGTGAGACAAACGAGGCAGAAAAAGGTAGTGCATGCATCGATCTTAGGCAGTCAGGAGATGGAGACTCTGTTGAGTTTTGCTCGGCAGTGGTGAATGGTGGATTGCAGTAGTTTGCATGAACAACGCACACGTATAGTGCCATGTGAACAATGCTGCAAGAACAGTGTACAGCGGAAAAAAAATAGGGAAAAGAGGGAAAAGGAAAACCTAGTTCTCTGATACAATAAAGTTTTCTTGTCCTCATGAATTCTGTTTAATCTACATGCAAACCCTTTATAACATTCAAAGTACAATATAAGGAAACTTAATAAGGGCAAATAATGGAGAATATCCCTAAGTACCAGCTGTACATATTTCCCTAATTACAAAGATCAAGTCAGATTTCTTACAACAACGTATTATGCATGTCGATATGGAATTTAAAGGAACTGACCTGCAATGAATCAAACCTTGATGATACAAACCCTTCTATAACTTTAGGCACATATTCATCTAACAGATTAGGTTTGTCACCCTTGAGATACCGCACAGATGCCACAGATCTAGACCATAAATTTAGAAGATAGTAAACACTGCTTCCAGCCCACTGAAAGGAAACATATATGTATCAATAGAAGTTTCTTTCCATATTTAATAATATCCAATCATTTATAGTGAATTTTATGCAGATTAAAATAACTTAACAAAAGAAGAAAGAATTGGCAAAAAAAGTAGGGCTAGCTATAGTAAGATATGATGGGGAATGATTCCTATCATTGCACATAACAGTAACAATTAGTATATAAATTATTCTTCTTTCAACTCATAGCAAAGCAAATAGAGCAGAAAATCAAACTCTTTCCCCGTTCACAGTCCTCATATCCCAAATCTCGAAACCAAACTATGATACAACAAAATTGATAGTGACCGGAGCAGAACACATGACACTCATGTGGCCTCCAAAATTTAAAGGATTTGCCTCACAACAAGGCAATTTAGATTGAAGTCTGAACAGCAACAACAGAAGGTGCCAAAGGCTTAACTGCAAGTGAGAAAGAATAGAAAGATAGAACCCACTCCAACACTAAGTTGAAAACTAAAATATTTTAATTTAGTTGCTAGTGAGTAAGCACTTGGAAACATCTCGACAATCATTCATATTGAATTAATTTCAAGAGAAATAGTAAGAAAATGTAACTTTGTTGGCTCATGACAAGCCACCAAAAATGAATTTGTCCATTTAAATATCCCAGCCATTAATCTAATTCAAACAGAAATTGTTTCTGTTAAAATGGAATACAGGAATATGTACTACTTGAGGTCTTAAACACCTCTACACTTACATTTATAGAAAACAAAGTAACTAACCACACTCCTTTCCAACTCACTCTTAGTTGGAACACACTTGAACACAACTCATACACAATAACCAATAATTCTAACAGTTTCCAACATATTTGACACAGTTCCTAACATTTTATGAACAAAATGTATAATCCAGCTACTTCAAGGAACTAATTAAATAATCATAGAATCATACCTTCCAAGAATGCAAAGATTTTAGCGTAAACTCTGCTACTAAGTGTATCCATTCACTATAGCCTTCAGCATTCACAAGTTCAGATAACTGCAGAAAAAATCAAAGTGGGAACGTGATTTATTAATCAAGAAATACTAGTACAAGATCAATCCAAGGAAGTCAGGAAAACTTAATTATGCAAATTCAAATGAACAAAATCAAACAAGATACGAGGATGTGAGCAGTCACGGAAAATCAGGTTGGAATAGTTCCTCTATACCCATTAATCTTTATCAAGAAAGAAAGAAAATAGAGAAACAATGGAAAAGTGAAAAGGAAAATAATAAGACAACCTCTAAAACTGGGAAGAGAAGATACAAAAGAAACATGAAAGAAACACTAAAAAGCTTTGAACAGAATCCCTCAATATTTGAAGGCAAGTGGGATTGTTGTGCACAATCCAAGAAAGCAACACTTAAAAGCTTTGAACAGAATCCCTCAATATTTGAAGGCAAGTGCATGAAGGGGATTGTTGTTTAAGAAGGATGAAAATTTGAAAGGAGATGCACATCGTTGCAGACCATTTGTTACTGATTGGAGATTCACTTGTGCATGTTCTTGGATGGAAACCTAGTAACTTGGAGAAGAAAAAAAAAAAATAGGTCTGGTGCAAAGGTTGAATTCCGAGTGACAACACAGGGGTATGTGAATTGTTATGGTTGAAATTATTTTGAATGATCTAAAAGCAAATTGTGAAGAACTATGAAATCTTTATCATGATATAAGTCATTTATTAGTATTACTCACAATCCAATTCAGTATGATAGGATAAAGCATATAGAGATAGATCGACAGTTCATCAAAGAAAAACTGGACAATGGTTTGATGAGAAAAATCATTTATTGCATGGGGATCCTGAGCAGGAAATATATATATTAAACACAAAACTTCAAGGGGAGTAACTGTATTATTAGTGTACCTGGACATCAATGTTACTAGGATGATTGGAAGGAACAACAACTCGTTAGTCAACATTTAGAAAAGTAGTTTGAGATAAAACTCAGGTTGAAATATTCTTTTAGAATTCAAGTGGCCCACTACAAGAAAGGTATTTTCATATGCCAACAATAATCTGGATATTATACTTGGAGGAACTTGCTAACTTAGAGAAGTAAAACAAAAAACCGTTGTAGCTCAATCTGGCGTAGTAGTTAAATTTCAAGCAATAGCACAAGTTATTTGTCAATTGATTTGGTTGAAATAACTTGAAGATTGATTGTGATGGACCAATTAAATTCTACTGTGATAATAAATCAATAATCAACAGAGCCCATAATCCTGTTCAGCAGGATCCAACGAGACACGTTAAATTGGATAGACATTCTTGCGGGGAAGACACTACAGAAAACACACGTGGACACTCACCAAGAATTGTACAAACAAAACTAAAGCTACATTCACAAGTCATCCCACAAATATCATGAGGTGGTGATCCCAGGGAAAAAAAAATCCTATCAGAGATTGAATGGGCATGTACATGGATCATGAAAAAAGACAAAAACAGTATTGCACACCTGATAATTGAGTTTGAAGCGTCCAAGAAGTCGACAAAAGCCATGATAATTATCATGATCAGAAAGACCTGTTACACAAAGAAATTTATCAACAGAGGTCTAAATAAAACTTATAGACAAAATCCATAGCTACATGGATCACACTTTCAGCACTAATATTTATGATAATTGTCGTGATACGAAAGGCGTGTTATAAAAAGATATTCATAAACAAATATCTAAACTAAATTTATATACAAAGGATCCCACAACATCATTCAGCTCTAATATTTAAACATATTCAATTTAAATATAGCACTACTGTAAATCAATAGATAGGCAAGAAGTACAAAAATTAGCAATGTGCAAGTCAAGTATTCTGATATGTCAATGTATTAACAATTTATTAACAAAGGTATGCAGTAAGTTTGTAGGCTATATGTCGCACAATTACTCTTATATGAGTAAGCGTAATGCTCACTCAGAATTCCACATTTTTTTTCTATGATATGCTGCTTTTTCATTGTGAAATTTCTTGTTCAGCATCTCCAGTGAAAGTTAGGTTTATCCTACGACACACTAGACATTTTTTCTTTATTAGCTTTGACAGAAAATCAGCAAAAAAATCTCTGGCAACATGACATTTATGCTATATTCATATATTTATTTCACACAAATCAGATATATTTTAGGTCTTCGTGATATAACACTTGATTTGGATCAAGGTTAATGGCTTATTCTACTTCCTGTATAGCATATTGCATTTTTAAATGGCATTGCCTAATTACAGATTTACCGACGAATTTTTGGCTGATTCTGCTTCATGTATAATTTATTTTTTTCCTCTAAATAATTAATTGTATATGTGAATACACATCTGCCATATGCCACAACTCCATCCATTTACAAGGCAGATTTTTTGCTGGACAGCATAGTCCGCTATCCATGAAACTGATAAAAACTAAATAAAACATAATATAATAAATTAAAATAAAATAGTAATAACAAAGTTTCTAAGCATTAAGGGTTCGTGAAGTATCCAAGCTTTTAAAGCACTTATATCCAATAAAACTACAAGAAACTAATACGTATGTGAACATAAAAACAGAGAAAATTATATCACCATAATAACTAAGAAAATATATCCAGAATCTACACATTCATTCTGGCTAATTTTCTTTCCTTTTTTAAGAGAATGTGATTGTTACAAATAGAGGAGTTTAAATGTAATTATAATGATTGTAATTAATAGAATATTTATTTTCTCCTTTTCATTATTCATATGGTAATAAGATTGATAGTGTTATTCTTATGCGTAAATAATGAAAGTAATTTATAATGATAATGATTAATAATTTTTTTATTTTGGCAATATCTTAGAAATTATATTTTAATTTGGATTTGCATGATACCAGTAACATATTTCTTATGTTTTATAAATTTTTATACATTTTTAATTAAATACTTTGCACATATCATATCCTATTATTTGTAGAATGACTATATCACTACATCGGATTCACATCATACTGTATACAATGTGTATCAGATTTGTGCATCCTAAGGTACAACGAAAAGAAAAGGCAGAAAAGTGGTCCACCGCTACATTCAAGGGTGACCGCTCCACACGACCATTTACTATTGACTAGCATTGTTTGAGGAAAGTATCAGATTTAATTCAATAACTTATAACCAAAAACTAGCACCAACTTTTAGATAAAAATTATGGAACCAATGTTCCAAAATCATTAAAATAAACTGTTAGAATCAAGGCAAAGCCAAATAACTGTAAATCAAATTTACCTATTCCAGTTTGCAGAATTTCTTTGGTGCCTCGCATCAAGTGTGACAGGAACTTAATTCGAGCAGTATCATTGGGAAATAATGATCGTCTAATAGAAGCAAGACGCAACAGGCATTCCAGAGCCTACAATTAATAACAACAAATATGGGAAATCACCAATATAAAGAAGTGAGGTTACACACCTACATAGATCAAAAATTGGAAGTTGAGGAATAGAAAAAATGAATCAGTAATTTCTTTGCATGCCTAATTTTGCCATTATAATAGAACTCTAGGAACAAAGGATCAAATGCAAAAAACCTTAGAGAAGCTCACATGCATTTATGTCATAGATATAAAATAAAAGGACAACAACCAAATAGTATATTCATTTAAAATATGGCAATCAATTTATCTATCACTAGTATCAAAATATATATATTAGGATAAATTGAATTTTACGAATAAAATTACAATGCCTGAAATCGTCAGTAAATTTGAACAATAAAATACAAATAGCAGGATAAGTCAACAAGATTTTAACTATAAACAAGACCTCAAATTAAACATATTCCAGTTATATGTTACGAGGTGAACAAACCATGACCTAGTATTGAAAGCAATAACAATTTAAGTTTGTCACAATCAGAAGCAAAAGCATTTTGGGAAGATAAATCAACTCTATCAACAAGAAACCTAAAGCAAAAGCATCTCAATGAAGCCAAGGACGATAGATTACATTACTTGGATGGGGGATAAAGGAAACGGCATATGGAGAAAAAATGTACTTTACCATAAATTACATACTTCTTGCGAAAGACAAGTTTATCACATTCAAAAAGAAAAAAAAAGTAATATAGATGAGTAAAGTCAAATCAAGCAGAAAATAAAGTCTAATGATGCATATAGTAAAAGTAGGGTTGAAATAGTACAACAAGATTAGTAAATTTTATTTATTGTTAATAAAAACCAAGAAATAACTTAATATCCAAGTCTGTATTATTTAGAATATTATGCAGTAAAATGTTACTGAGCTGATAGCTCTATAGCAACAAGACAACCCCAGAGCACTAGACTCCTCCAGAGAATTACTCTCCTCCTAACCGACTCATAACTTCCTACTCCGTACCCCTTCACACTCTCCCTTCTCTCTCCTATAACAGAATTCCCCCATCTCCATATTCTTGACAAGTCATTCCCCATCCTAACTAACTTCTCACTCTTTCTTTTCCTAACCCCACTTTCTTTCTTCTGACACAAACATTCCATATTTTGGGCCTAACTATTGCTTCTATAATTATTCCTTGCTGAGTAACAAGTCCATGTTCACTTCCCACCTTATGATCCTTATTAGGAGTCTTATCAATTGTCTTCCACCAAATACGTCATTGGTGCACCTATTTAACATTTATCACAAAAAAAAAGGATCAAGCAGCAACAAAACAGCAAAAAAAAGGAAAACACCAGCCTTGCTTGTCTTAGACTCCCAAGGGAATGTACCATAGAATCCTGAACCATTTTTCATACTTAAATATAAGCAGAATGTAAGGGTAGGTTTGCCATTGTGGATACTTCATACTTTGATCCCAAAGAACCCTTGCATAACAAGGGGAGATGAGTATATAAAAGTATAAAGCCAATCATAGACATACACATAAAAGCTAAGGCTCTTTGGAGAGCTGGTCCGTGACAATAGGATTTAAAATAACTCATTCAGAAGTTCACAATTATATAAGACCACAAAGATCAGTGAAAAAATAAATAATTATGCAGCTGAAATGAACCAGAATACATTCCCCCGTTGGCCACAAATACTCAATTTAATTCTATTAGAGATAGACTGTACTTGTAGAATCCTAGAAGTATAACTGTACTATTGGGCCTGCACTGTAGTACTGGGATGGTCCAATTACATACATACATATATATATAATCGACATTAAGGAGCCAGCTGGCTGGTTTAGATAGAAGTTAGCTAGGTGTCACATCAGCTGCAAACGGCAACTGATTCGAACTTCCTGTAACAATACAAATACTATATCTAATCATAATAACAAATAAAGAATTTCATCAGATTTACTCTCTAATATTGCATCGGGAATTCAAACATATTACGCTTTATCCAGAAAATGTACGCAACAAAGAGAGGTCCTAACATCTCAAATAATATTCTTTCTATACACAAAACAAAATACCAAGTTAATAACAGTGAGGGTTAATCCCTTGAAAAATCAAACAAAATGCAGCAGTAAATAAAAAGTTTATCATAAAAGTTTAAAGCACTGGCTCCACTGGCAAATGGAATAAACTAATATAAACGAACCTCTTTTGAAAAAACTTGATTCAATGCATAATAATCAAAAAATATTTGCAGTGTTGAGGAATCCTCTAGGGCAGGCTTCCATCCCGATGGAACCTGCACAACCAGTGCCAATTCAAGATCAAGAACTGCAGACC